CATTATATGATCATTTTTAAAAACCCGAGATATTCTCTAGGTATTACAACTTTGGCCCGTCAAATGTATCCTAAAAATGTCAACTACCTTTTGGAGTCGTTTCAAGACGCTACGAGTCGCGCATACGGTTATCTCATGCTCGATTTACATCAATTAACCCCTGACAGTTTGCGTGTCAGTACAAACATTTTGCCTGATGAAAAGCACATTGTGTATGTAAAAAAGCGATAAGCATCAACAGAAACACTCATAAACGCATCATGTCGAAACGAATGAAGAACTATACTCCTTACATGCAAGTTATAGCTAAATCTAAGCCAAAAGTTCGAAAGGTGATAATTGAGCATGGACCCTCCGACGTTATTGTGTGCATATGTGAATGTGCTATCAATGTTTTAAAAGTAACTGTTGCAGTATCTTCCAGTCAAAAGCGACTGTTGTCGAAGTACAAGAAACACCTCAGAGCGCTAGCTAACAAAAAAATCTCACGAGCAAAGAGGAAAAACTTTTTAATCCGAAAGGAAGAAATTTACTGACTGCTTTACTGCCGCCTGATATAAGTGCATTGGGAAGTTTGTTCATAAAATGAAACATGTCAAACGCACGACTCATGTTCCTGAAGATGTATTTAGCAGATATGAAAAACAACAAAAACTTGAAACTAGTCCGATCATGATGAATATGAAGAATAAAGATTCGCAGCTCTCTCATATCCTTCAACAAGACTTCGTGAGTGACGATCAAAGACAAAAACGTTTTAACGCAAACTTTGAACAATTCCGTAAATTCAAGCAACAGAAAGATAATCAGATACCCATGGTACGCGTGGTAGACACTGTTGATGGGAATGGAAAAAAAGCGACAATGAAAATCAGACATTAGCTGTCATTGTACAAAGTGTGCCAAAAACTATGCGTGAGCGGGCGAAAGCAACATTGCAGCATCTTAGTACACACTCGAGTATAATATCTTGGGACGGTTCTGGACAAAGTCAAACTTGACGGAGTCACCATTACGCAATAAAACATAACAAATCTAATTAGCGATGCTGTGAGAGGAAGGAAAAATTTCAATCCTCCAGAGTCTAAAGAATTCTTTCATGTTTTATCAAAAATAAACATTCCTGGAGAATTGGTTAGGAACGATATGAGACGGAAGGAGGCGCAAATGGAAACTTCACCACGTGAAGAAAACGAGGCAGTCTATCCTAGTTCATCAAAAACGAAATTGACAATACCCAACGCTTCCTCTACACACAAGAAAACTCATTTACGTTGGTTAAGCTATTAATATGTCTTGTAAAGTTTTTTCTTTAAATAAAAATTGCAGTTGATATCATTTTCCTGATTGTTGTCAATTAGAATATGTAAATACAAAACGCAAGCAATTAAGTTACACAAAGAACTTTTGGCCTCGCACTCTTTGGCTTAGGTAAAATATACAATATTGTCCACATACATCGGTCCAAATACTTTGTAATTTGCGTGTATTAAAATCCCAATCATAATGTTTCAAATAGTCTATTCATGATAAATCTCAGGTGACTGGCCATAGCTGTCGAAGAATTCGGCTTTTCGTTCAGACAGAAAGTAAAATGCAACCCAATGACTTCTAGGTCTTCTGCTGATATCGTTGTTTGCTATAAGCACATTCGGATAGCTTTTGATTACTTTAGGTAAACGATTGGCAGGAAAAACACAAAGAAATTTCTTGCTTGTAACAGGATCCGATTTTAATGCAGATGATACTTGTGAGGTGTTCATTTAACCAATGTAGTCATAGACAACATTTCTTGTAGAGTCGATTTAGATTACATTTTCAAACTCTCCATAGCAGACAAGCTAACAGCATTAGTTGGTGCTGTTGAGAATTGCATGTCAATGGCAAGATTTCTTTTTGCACTGTATTAAAATGTTCTCCCGTACTACACATATCAGGCGTCAAATCAAAACAGTACAAAGCAAAACCCTTTGAAAACTCGTCACGAGCAATTCTATTACTGGCATTCAGAAATATTTTTCTAGTGCCAGCAAATTGTGGTAGAAATGCTTCTATGTAGGATTGTTACCAAACGAGAGCTTAAATAGCTTAGATGGTAGAGATTCACCGTTTACAGAAATGCCTTAGGATGAAACGTTGAAATGCTGAAAATTGAATGGGTTCATTTTATAAGCATTATTGAATGCAGCACTTGCAAAATTACCGACGACAAGTGATTTCGGCACCAAACCGTTGAAAAGATTATCTTTTTGCAGTGATGGGTTTCCTGATGGAATTATTAAACTTTTGCAGTCCACACGGCTTACAGGGTAAACGGCTGGGCTTTTTATCAGTGCAACTTCCTTAGACATAGCTCTACTAGGATTCACTTTAACTTTGCAAAGTTTTAGATAAGCATTCACCAGTTTCACTTTAAAAGCTGCATCGTCCTCGGAAGCCATTAGGGCAAACTCGTTACTGGTAGAGTTCACTACCTCTTTCAAATCAACATAGATAAGGAGGAGGCGTTCACCGAAATTATCACAAAATATAGGGCCTCACATTTCGACAATTGCACGTACCGCTGTAAAATTAGTTTGCGTTTTCAAGCCTTTGTTTGGACTTCCGTTTGCTGGGTCAGCAATCTACTTTTTTTGAAGCTTCGTGCTTGTAAAACAACGCAGCTGTCAGCTGGGATTGTTTAGCTGATGGACCATAATTCAAAAGTATATCGGCATATGCACGATATGTATAAGTTCCTGTCGCTTTGGTTACTAGCTTTCCTTTCAAAAAAAAATCAACTTGCTTAAACAAACTATTCAAGAAACTATTCACCGGCCATAATTTAGCGTCATCGTCGAGATTTCCACGGTCAGCTTTGGTTACTTTTGCTCTGACCATCAATATTGTGTTAGACAAGTCAACATAATCTTCTGTACCTGGCGCCAAATAAGTAATCGAACCGCTTTCAGATCCATTAGAGACCGGTGGATGGCCTATCGGACTCTATCCATCGCCCCTTTTCCAAACTGGTTTGTGTTGGGGGTACGAAAAATATTTCAAGTTCACTTTTTGTACATTCTGTTGATTTTGGATGAATGAACTCCATATTTATCCGAAAATATCTTCTGCTTCTTTAGCTGCTTTATGTCTCTTGGTTGAATGGTAAATGACATGAGAAGACGATGCTTTTCTCTTTTTAGCTGTTTTTTTTTGCCTGATTCTTCTGTGGTTTTCCTCTTCCTGTTTGAGCAAACTGTTGCATATGGTTTACAGCTTTTTTCCCTGTTTTTCTTTTTTGCTGCTTGATTAACACGAGATTTTGCAGCCTTTTTAAAACTTTTCCCGGAGATAAATCGCCCAAAACGTTTGCACCTGTATCGAGGGCAATTTTACCTAGAGCTTTTGCGATGGTTTTTGCCAAAGGTATTGCAGCTCTAGCCAATCTACGAAATAAACCACCAAGACTATAACCCATATGCCCATAACCTTTTTGCCAGGATGCTCCTCTAAAGACAGTTTGCGATCCGTATAATTTTTGCTGGTTGTGATAATATTGAACATAACGGTTTGTTCGACTTATATTTTTTTCTTATGTAAAATAAGATGAGGCTTGTTTTCTGAAATGAAGTGTCATTATCGACTTCCCTCGTTCAAATGAGATGGGATTTCCTAACTCGTCCCTTAAGAGAATTTCGATGTCCTCAAAAGATTTCGTCTGCACTGTTAAATATTGAATAGTAGTGAATGTTCTTGAAACAATGTCTCCATATTTTCCTTAAATAGCAACTGCCTTTAGTAATTTTACATTGACGTCTCCAACAACTTGCGGTTGTACAATGTTGCAATATACATACATCATGACGGATCCGTGAAATCAGAAGCATAAGGACTTTCGGTTGTTTTCGAAATCTCTACTTCTTTTCCTCCAAAGCCGATTAAGATCGACATTTGTTGTTTAAATAATACTTTGTAACCCTGTTTTACATGGACTTTAACTTTTTCTGTCCGTGGGTCAAAGCTCAATTGAATATTGTCTTTTACTTCTTCGTCAAGAGTCTCTTTAATTGCTTTTACAAGGTCGAAGGCTTTTTCATACTAGCCATAGCTGACAAATACTGGAGTAGGTAGATCTGTTTTGTAAGTTACAAATATATGTGTATCCAAACCTTTTTTCAACGTGTACCATGTATGACGATATGTAATTGAATACAATCCTACCTCCCAATTACCAATTACATTCACAACGAGAGGTAAATTTACACGATAACCTGAAACTTTATTTTCTGGAAATACAGGCAAAGATGCAATACTAGGTAATGTCAAATAAAAGTGTGTTCCGCTCATCTTTGATATAAGTTGTAAAATGAAAAAGATCAAGCACACAGTTACGTTTTATACATGTATTTCTGAAGCATGTACCCAAGAATTAAATTTATTTGGGTAACCTGACCACTTTACAATATATTGTATATTACCCCCTCTGCCCCGTTTCTTAAAGGAGTAGTCAGACCTCACTCATATGAAAGTGTGTATTGTTCTTACCTCTCTCGCGAAATCCTAGGTTTTCAATTCAAATTTAACTGAATATTAAATTATGGCGGGTATACTTAAATACAAATCACAATACAAACACAGATTTAAAGACGCAATTGTCTCACTTAATTTTATTAAAATTGTAAAAATGCCCTACTGTATGTACCAGGATGTAACAATTGTTCGAAGAAAACGAAAGGGCGCGAAATATCATTTCACGGATTGCCAAACGACAAAAATCTTCGTCGAATGTTGCTAAGTCATGTCAGACACGAAAACCTACCGAAAGCAAATTCATGTTACGTTTGCAGCGCGCATTTTACGCCTGATTGTTTTCAAAATTCCTTAAAAGAGCTATTTAACATGAAAGCAAAGAAGACGCTAAAACCTGGTAGTTTACCGTCCATATTTCCATTCATAAAACGGAAACCGGAACGTGAGTTGTCAAGCAATAGAGCCTAAACAAGAGAAAAAAATGCACGACAACAGGTACTGTACTTTTTAATTCACAAAATTTAAACACCGTTGTCCTTGCATTATATACTTAGATGTTTCAATATATATTCTATGTAGGAAGTGTGGAGCTTGTTAGAACAGTGTAATAATGAGCCTCGAGACTCCTCCAATATTTAGCATATGCAGGATACGACTGATGTTGATGTCAATAAGCACAAGTGGAAGGAGAGAAAATACTTTAAAAAGTACGCGAATGGTCGTCTTTCTGAAAGAAAACAAAGAAAAACAAAGTGGTTAGAAAATGGTTCTGCTGCTCATATTGCTTTAGAAGAAATAGTACTAACAAAAAACTATTAAAAGACTTAGCAAAACTAACAGAATTTTACCACACTGGGGAGCTTGAGGTTTACCACTCACTTCTCCTAAAATACTTACCCAAACGTCTTTCCTTTTCGTACAAAGGTATGCTTGCAAGAACCAAGTTGGCAGTGATAGACCACAATGTAAATACTGGCAGAAAACAAGCATAAGTTCAATGTGGAAAGCAGCAAGGGGAAGAGCGATATAATATCGTGTTCCCAAAAGGGCGAGAAAATTGGGTAGCCAAGCCAATTATGGCGAGTAAGTCATATTCTTTTGTGCAAGGTATGATGGAAGATGTCTGTTGTTTTACTGTAAAAAATGTACATAACAAGATTTCTTTACCAGCAAACATTCCAAGAAATATTGCATCTATAGAAAAGCCAAACAAAGAAAGTGTTACACAAGCACACAAATAAAGAATGGGTAAATAGTCCCCCAAAAATATTTATGTATATATCAATATTTATAATTAATAATAAGAGAATCTCTAATAGTAAAGTAGCCCAATTTTTTGCTTTGCTATGCAAATTCATTAGCAAAGGCACTTTTCAATTATGTACACCAAAATCCTTGCATAGCACAAATAAAGAATTGGTTTGGCTTGGCCATTATAATTTGTATTTATTGTTCATTTACTAAATCCAATTTATATTTTTATTTATTAGTAATTCATCATTAACGATACTTATAAATATGGTTATAATAATTTACATTACCATTATTATTCATCAGCAAATTTAAAACCCTCAAAGAAAAGTCCTCTTCTAGACCTAGTGGTGGGAAATGTGCTCGAATGCAGCTAACAGCGCAAGATGGTAGTGGTACTCTACTTTCCTTGACCAATACATTCATACACCATCGAACCAGTTACCTGTAAGCCACTTGTCTTTGTCTTTTGTGTTCAGGTCCTTCATCAGCTCTTGAAACATGGTGTTGTTTGTACTCACTCCATGCCAGTCGTAATACCCAATAATTTAAACAAAGATTTAGAAAAACAGGATTATCTGTAATACAGTCAGGAGTATCTATTCCCTCAAATTGTCCTGAGTCTTCATTCATTGTTACAACAGCTGAAATTTCTTTGCAACAAACACATTCCTCCACTCTATCCATGATTTGATAATGGTTACATGTGCACCTATTCAGGTAAAATAGCAACGAAATAATCATTTTATGTCAAAATATTTAAAGCTTGAAAACTCAAGCGAAATGTGATATTCGACATACGCGTAACATAATTCGGTAGCGTAATTCGTGCGATGAAACATGTAAAAACAAAAACGACATAAATTGCAGAAACGAGTAGAATAATAGTATTTACCAGAATTTATCCTGAAGTCTGTTGGGTTCTGATACGGATTCAGTGGATGATGCAGCAGCAACTTCGTCGGAGTCGTCCATAGGCTCGTCGTTAGAGTCTGTTTCAATAGGCTCATAAGCATATGATTGAATCATGTTTTCATCGTTAATCATTTCTTCGTAGTTTGAAACACTGCTTCCAGAATAATTACTAAAGGGGTCGTTTGAGTAATCCGTATACATTGCGCAAAATAATTTAAAAACTTAGAAATTAAAATGCAACTATGAATATTGCTTATGCGTAATTTCTACTTTTGCTAGTATATTTTGTCCAAATGTTGACAACGATCACCGCGCAGTGACGTAACGACGAAAAACCGCTGCTGGACTGCGGCTTCGCTTGCATGTTCACAATGGCGATCGAACAAGAGGCAAAAATACACACATTTAAGGCATTATTTCTCGAGTTAAATTTAAATTGGAAACCTAGGATTTCGCGAGAGAGGTAAGAACAATATACACTTTCATATGAGTGAAAGCTGTGTTAAGGTCTGACTACTCCTTTAAGTATTTTTTCAATGTCGTAAACATCATCTTTCTTGATGACTTTTTGAATTTTTTTTCATAAAATTTTCCTTTAAGTTCTTCCCCATCATAATCCTTCAGCCTGTATACAGGAAGATGACGTGGTATTTTTTTAATTACAGTGAAAATTTCCTTTGAAAAATTTGGTAAATACCCCTTCTCAAACTTTCGTTTTATTTTACTTATTCGTACCTTGATGCTACGATGCATACTGTGATTATAAGAATACATCAGATCGGGAAACATGTCGATGTATCTCATCGTTTTATTTGAAGTCCCGATTAAAAAATTCCGAGCCTTGATCCGTTTGAATGCGAATTGGCTTGCGTCCTGATGATAATATCTTCTGAAAAGCGTTCACTAATGTACGGCCTGGATTGTTTTTCAATGGAACAGCCCAAGCATACTTTGAAAAAACATCGATACAGATAAGAAGATACCAATAACCTTCGTTATACTTTTGTAGATATTGTAAGTCTTCCATATCCAACTGCCTTCGAGCATTGATACCACCCACCAGAACGTGATTTTTTTCAAACTTTCTTCGAGTTGGTTTATGTATTGTATATGCATGTTGCTGGCTCAACCATTATTTAACTTTTTTACGACTAATATCATATATTCCTTTAAACGTTCAACACCCACATAGCTTTCTGAACGTTTTGGGTCAAAGTACGGCTAGGTAATTGTCGGTGTCACTCATGGTAATGTTCTCAAGATAATAATTTTGCAAATAGGTGTCAATTACTTATAATTACTCATAATTGAGGGTTCAATGTTCTCGTTTACAGGTGACGTTCCCCCTACTGTGTTATCTGTTACAGCCTTAACTGCGACAGGTCCATAATTTTTGACCGTTTTACTTGTGTATCCTGCTTGCAAATGACCCTCAAGATTGAGATCGTTGCGTCCGAAACTTATACCCAAGCGAAACAATTTCTGACGATTATGATTTTTATCCCTTTTTGCATTTCTATTTTCACGTTTTCTGCTACCGATTCCCATTTTCACAATGACATGGTCATAAAACAACTGAAGTCAAAATGCAATAACATTGAAATTTATATTTTATTTTTTTATTGGTCAAAGCAATTACATAGTTGATTTGTATTTCAGTTTACAACTACAATCAGCATAGTCAAAGACATGTTGAGAAAAAGTAGGACGTTTTGTCTCCATGTACATTAACATTAGTTCTATCCAAAATCTAATTTAGCTCTATCCTAGCACTAAAAAGTTTGTCAAAATAAGTCTTATGAGAGTTCGAAGGTCCACAGTTCTTTAGAAACTTAAAGGCTTCACATGTTCCATTCCAGACATGCTCGCGATTAATTGTTTCGACTGCTCGAGCTGCAAAATTTAACCAACGATCCTGCTCAGTCATCATTTTAAACAGGTTTGATACTCTACACAAGGGTCTGCTTTGTTGGAATCTGATCTCAAACTCCCTGAACTATTATGTAAATTCTAATTAATTAATTATTCCATGTGCTTCTTCTACTGCCTACTCTGTAACATGGCGTATATTAAAGTGGTTCTATGACGAAAACTTAACGTTAAAAAATCATCGATTTTAGCATTCAATAGTTTAAACACATATCAATTATTGCTTTCGTAAAATGTAAGCAAAAATAATAATACAACGAGGGAGTTATGAACATTTGAAATGTCTAATTTTCATGTCCGCCATTAAAATCGGCCATTTTGAATATTTGCAATCAGCAAAGGTCTGTGACGTCATAGTCTTAACACGGCAAGAAGCGCACATTGGAAAGTATACTAAGTAATACATAAATAGAGCAAAAAAATGTCAAATTCATCGAGATCTAGCTCGCTCTCTGAGTCTTCGATCGAGACAAACGCATCGATTTCTTCATCGGAATTTGTGACGGCAAATTCGAACGAATCTAATTCAGAAATTTTGCCATTTGTCGATAATATTGAGCCGCTTGCTTCGCCCGATAAAATTGCTGAGTACAAAGCTACAGTCGAAGAAGAACGGCGGGTTGAAGACATGCTGCAAGATCGTTTTGATGCCCGTGTTGATGTTACTTCATGGTAAGATGTCATTCTTAGTGTGTTACTTTGATCCGAATTGTCTGCCGTTAGCTATGATAACTTTATGGAAACATACATATTTAATGTATGTATTTTTATTGTTAAGGTGTGAATGTGACCATTGTTCGTTGGATCTTGTTGTCAACCCTCAAGAGTGCCGATGCTGCATGGAAATAGAGCAATGCCGTTGTAAAATGATCAGTTCAAAATCGATGAAAGGAAATGCATTTTGGATCACCCTGGCTTTAACGAAGTTTGCCTGAACGAATTTGTTCTTCAAGCAGCCTCGTTAGGTTTAAAGACCAAAGGTCATCGCATGACACTTCATTTTGTATTTCCTTTAAAACCTTAGTATAAATGTATATTATATGTTGAAAGTTTACCTGGATGTATTATTGGTTCTCTCAAATTGTGAAAATTTATCATCTGCAATATGTGTAAGTAAATAATAATTGCAACTTGTGCTAACCTGACGCCGCTCTCTTGACGTTGTTGGTGTTTGTGATTTCTTCCAAATGGTAGGTACGGCACCAGGTTTGAGCCGTCTATTCATACCAACCAAATGGAATAAACGCTCAAAACAATCATCCGAGAAGTGATTCGAACAAATCATAAATAAAATTTCGCGCGAACTCGGATTAAAGTTTGCGTGCTTCGTCTGAACAAATTTAACCCAAATTCTTCTCAAAGACTCGTCGTTTGGGCTTTTATGTAATGAAATGCCTGTAATTCTATCAGACTTATTACTGCAATCTTGCACGATACATCGTGTTGAAGGCATGTTAAAAAAATTGAGTTATACAACCTTTTAAATCTCTATTTGTATATAGTGTTATATTGTAAACAGCCGCCAGTTAAGACTATGACGTCACATGCACCTTCCTTCTTGAAAATTCAAATATGGCGCATTTTAATGGCGGCTCTTAAAGTTCAAGTTTTATCGCTACGTAACTCTAGCAGCATGAAGTACATTGCGCTAAAATTTCGCCAGAAGAGACTTTTTTACATACATTATCAATCTATGAAAAAAAACGAGAGGCAAAATTTTCGTCATAGTACCACTTTAAACTGTTGTTATATTGAATCGGTATTATTATCCTCCATCATGTCAAGAGACGCACCGTCAACATGTTTTACTTTAATCCTTTTCAGCTCTTCGTAGCTCTTGAATCTTTTTACTTATAAAATCGACGAAAATCAAATTGATAAGATCGCTGCGACTAACTTCTTCAAACTCAACAGTGTCTGCATATATCTGATTAAACATGTGTGCCATATTTTTTTTTCCAAAACGTCCAAAAGCTAAGCAATAATGAGCAACCCAAATAATATTTTTCAAGACGATAGTCTGACTAAATATTGAATCGTGTAATGAAATACACGATGAGTGCTTTCTGACATTTTATTGGATACTTTAATAAATTAGATAATATTTCTTGTCACCATGTTTCTTGTCACATTAAGTTTCGAAAAAATGTTATTACTTGACAGAAAACAATACATTATCGTCACTACCATTGAAAACGCCATTTTATTTTGTCATTTGTTTCTCTTCCCTTTATTATGATAACCTATTACATTCAACATTGCCCCATTAAGTTCTTTCCGGTTTACACGCGCGCGCCCTGCTTACTTCCTAGGACTGGAAATTAATTGACAGGGGTAAGACCTCTGTTTACTTCCGGGACCATACCTGCACCATAAACTACTTTTCAACACCTTGCCCTCTATAAAGTTATAACAAGTAAGCACAATTAAATGATAATGATTGCTGCAGCAATACCATCTTGTGTCTCTTTTTTCTCGTTCATGAATTGATAAAACAGCCATTTATGTTGCTCCTTGTCATAACGAATATTGTTGCAAGTTTTGAAAGCTAATACACTAAACTACTTTGCATATGTAACTATAATGAATTGTTGTTTATCATTCAGCTTACGAAAATGAGTTGGTGTTTTATCTATGCAAGATATTTAAAGTATGTCTTTTCTGATTCGTTTCACTTTTTAGAAGCCTGCCTCTGAGCTCATAAAGTATGCAGCAAGGCCAACGTTGAAGAGCAAATTTCCGATTTTTAGAAATATGCTTCAGGTAAGCAAGGTGGTTCCAGATTTAAGGTAACATGTCATTATCATAGATTGCTGGTTAAAGTATATAGATACCATTTTTCCTTTGTTTGGTTTTCTCAACTTAGACATTGAGAACTCAAGTTAATTTACTCCGTAATTTCACAGTTAACATATTTGTATTTTCTTGTCTGTGTAAGTTGAGAAAAATACACAATAGCATTATTGGCATGTGCACTTAAAGAAAGTGAGCATGTGTCTTTCATTGCCTTTCAATTATAAGTAAAGCAAAATGGAATGGACACATATACATAATGCGTACATTTAAAAACGTTCATTTTAGTGCAGGTATTAGTTTTGTGCAAGTTTTAAATTTTGTTAACTCAAACTGCATGATCATATTTATTATATACAATTTGCTTAGCGTGATATTAAACAATTATTGAATGAAATAGTATATGAATTAAGATATATGATGGCCAAGGTTTGTTCAATCTACCAACGCTGAAGCAGATATAACACATTTATGCCTTG